TTAACCAGATATAGTCATCAAACACCAGATATAGTCATCAAACACCAGATATAGGCATCATAAACCATATATAGGCATCTTTAACCAGATATAGTCATCATCAACCAGATATAGTCATCAAACACCAGATATAGTCATCATTGACCAGATATAGTATACACCAAATATAGTCAACAAACACCAGATATGTCATCATAAACCAGATATAGGCATCATAAACCATATACAGTCATCATAAACCAGATATAGTCATCAAACACAAGATATAGGCAGCATTAACCAGATATAGTCATCATACACCAGATATAGTCATCATCAACCAGATATAGTCAACAAACACGAGATATAGTCATCATTAATGTGTTCGCTTTTTTAATTGTATAAATATTATGTTCGACTGTTCGAGAGAGAGAGAGAGAGAGAGAGAGAGAGAGATGAGACAAATTTGAGAAGGTAATAAATAAAATAAAAAAACTGCTGTGAGTATTTGTCAATATTTTGTTTATAAGTTTATTATAGAAGTCTTGAGAATCCTTTTTCTTCTTTAAAATTATTACAAGATGTAACGGTATAATTGGGTATATCACATATTTGTTTGGCAAATTAAGTTGTTTCAGATAATTCTTTAAGCTTGTTATCAAGCCATTATATTCTAGATAATTAGTTATTGTACCATGTAGATCACAAAATTCCTTAAAAGACAAGAAAGAGTAGTCTGTGTTGTTTTTCAACAAATCATAAATGATCATAATCCCGTTTTTAAACAACTTACGATAAAAAACATCTTTATTACCAACAGAAATATTTTTGTTATACCATAAGGGTGCGGTTAGTTTTACCCCATGAACAGTTGCATGGATGCAAGGAAAACAGTGCCAGGCAAATTTGAGCTTTTTCAATCCATTACACAAAGTCGGCTGGCATTGATGTATCATGTATTTATGTTATATAATTTTGCATTTTAATTTTGATGTCTTGATTTGTAAGTTAGTGTTAACTGCAATATGTTATTAAACTTGTAAGTGGGCCACGTTGGCTGTTGGATCGAAATAAATAAATTAAAAAAATCTATCGCAACATTCATTAAATTATTTGTGCAGGTACATTTAAGTGTACATTGAAGAAATGGGCGATACTTTCTAAAAGTATTATACGAATTACGTTTCATAATGTCCGCTAAAACGCATGTCAGTTTGTGATAATTAGGAATAGTGCGAAATTAGAAAAACAAATAATTTACATGAAGCAAAAGTATTTCCTTTGATAGTATTTGCCAATACTAATGCATCAAACACGTTTAAAAGGGGTATATTAATATAACTTAAAGTTCCCAGAGGTTACAACTACAATAGATATTGTTAACAACTCTGTGAATCATATGACTGTAACAAGAATCGTCAGCATTAATATGGTCAATCGCGAGTTGTTAACGACAAAATGACATATAATCAGTGGTCAGTTTAAGCGCTGACCACGGCCTTGGGCTGACCTTGTTCGCTGTCAATCTGCATGTTAATCATCGGATGCTAGTGGCTACAGCGCAAGTAAGCCTGGTCCCGTCTGACGAGATGTCATAATACTTATTACACGAAACACAACTATATCTACACAAATTAAAAGTTCCTGGAAACAGTTCAATATCCGTCGTATTTGTTTGTTTTTTATTTCCCTCCGGGAGTTCTTATTACTAAAAACTGTTATGCACAAAGTATGTGTCTTGCCATTTAAATGGAATTATGTTTGATAAAAATGTTTCCGAATTATTTATCAATCTCTGTTTATCTTGGAGTAGACTTCCTTGTATGTACAGTAGATGGTATAGTTATTTGAAAGTGGGTTTCTTTCTGTCGTAGTATTACGTGACTTGGTAAGAGTTTAATCTTTCACGTCGATACTGTATGCTGTGCAAATGTGTTATAAATTACGATAATAATATAATCCGATTAAACAATTTAGGGATATTCTTTCTGGGCAAGTGTAAACTTTACCTATTTGGCGGAAGCGTAGTATGAACTATTTCTGGGGAAGTGTAAGCTTTACTTATTGGATGGGGGTGGGTGGGGGGTATCATTAACTATTTCTGGGCAAGTGTAAGCTTTACCTATTTGGCGGAAGCGTAATATTAACTATTTCTCGGGAAGTGTAAGCTTTACTTATTGGGTGGGGGGGGGGGGGGAA